AACTTTGCTAATGAATACCATGTGAGTGAAATTTAGTGAGTGAGAGGATTTTGGGGGGGCTAGGTAAATGGTTAACAGTTACTTTAGCTGCTATATATCTAAAAGATAACCTTATTTGTCAAAGTAATGCCTGTTTTTCTTATGTGGAGATTAATTGTAGTAACAAGACCAAATGCACTTAGGGATAGAGGAAAGGAATAGTATTATTTAATAATCAGTGAATATACTGTATACTTACATGTATTTACATTTAGTTCTTGAATCTGCCTAAAATGTTACTAAATGACAGAATTTTAAAGGGAACAAGTTATTCATCCTGATTTTTAGTTGATTTAAATATGAAATTTTATTATGATCATTTGTTTTGCTAGAAACCTATATGTTAAATTTGATTAAATCAGTTCTCCCAAGAAGGACCACTGTTATAAAAATGGGATTATTTGAAATAGCTCAATTTTTCCATTCCAACTTTATAGTGAATAGAAAATTTTATTTTATAATCATAAAAAGGGAAAAAAATCACAAGCTCTTCCTGTATTGCTTTTATATTCAGAAGAGGTTGATTTTTCCTAAGTTCCAAAGAAGGTCAGACTTCTATAAATATTTGATAACCTAATATATGAGCTGGGGATTTAAAAAAAACCTCACACACACACACACACACACAAATGTTTTGGTTACATTAGAGTTCAGACTCCTTGAGAATGGGTTTTCCAATAACAAAGTCCTTAGTTACTTTTCTAACTTTTATATTGGGTTGTTTCTCCTGGTCCCCTTGAGAGCTTTGTTACTGATCTAAAACAGTCTGTCTCCTGTGCTTTCTGCTGATTATTCCTAATATAAACTTCAAACACTGACTTGCAAGGAGCTGACTTCTGAAAAGAAGCAGCTGTTGGTCATAGAGCTTCTCATCTTTTTTCCTGCAAAGTCAATTGTTAGAATTTGTCATCAGATACAGTATCCTAATATTTGATACACTCATATTTATTTAAAATATATATCTACTGATACTTAGATTCACAGGTCTCAACATATCCAAGGCACTTATAAGAGAGAACAGCAAAGTTTCTCTAAAGTGGAAGTTTTATCAGTTTCACTTTTCACTTTACATTTCAAACCCACCAACATTATCATCATTAAAGAAATTATTTACTAGACTGTTTATGACTGACTTCATATTTGTGTTGAACTGAGTCAAAATTAGGAGTAACTTCTCATCAAAGTTATAATTAAAAGTCACTAAAAAGAAGAGTATAAGATGGCATGAGAATAAAGATGCCAGCCCATCTCTTCCATACATTCACAACAACAACTAAATTGCAGCTAAACAGAGGCAACAAACATTGCATACATTAAGAGTAATGGCATAATGGAAAGAGGTAGGAAAAACAGTAATTGACTGTTTGGAGGGATACCGAAGCAGAACCTACCAGAGAAGGGCAACTGCTGTACTGAGCTATTGTTAACTGAATACTAGCCCACATTGAGGAATTAAAAAATGGGCATTATAGTGGAGAAGGGAGGGCACCACTGGAAAACTCTAGGTGATTACTATTTTGAGCCTGTACCTCTCAAATTAGAAAATTTGGAGCCTAAACAGATAGAAGTTACAATTTGTAGCCTATGGCTGTAATATGCAAAATACCTGCCTTATGCCCACCCAGGCTAAAAGCAGAACAACAGTGGGATCTTATCATTAAGCAAATGCTCCAGGGTAAAGCTCTATGTTCCAAAAGAAGCTGTAAATTGTCTCAACTACACTCATCCTGCAGGTCTACATCTACTGCTCAACCATAGTCTAGATGTTGAGGCTGCCAAGAGACTGGGGTGTTCTGGCTGAGGACATTGCCAGGAAAGGACACATAACAGGTACCTGCAGCACTAGGAAACTTGAACCTTTGATGTTCACTAGAAACAAACTTTACATACCTTACTGCTCTAGTTCCTTCTTGTTACCCTTTACCCACATGAGGACCTCAGCTATCTACATATGTGCAACAGTATCAGTCTATGAAATGATAGATATATAAATACCTGGGATTATACCCAGCTTTCTCTAGGGGATAGATAAAGCCAATCGAGATAAGAAACAGAAACAAAGGAAATCACTAATTGTAATTCCCAAAACAAAAGTAAAGGACAGAAGAACCTACCGCAAATATAAAAGCAAAAACAGCCTGACATTATGCAAATGTAGAAGCAAAAACAGCCTGACATTATGCCATCAAGTGTAATATATAAATTTAACCCAATCCTCATTAGAATACCAATCATGTTCTACAAAGAAAGTGAACAACAAAAAATAAAATTTAAATGGAACCATTAAAGGCCTTGATTAGGTATATCAATCCTGAGAGAAAAGCAGAGAAATATTCATATTACCTAACTTTAAATTATGCTATATAATATTAGTAATTAGATCTATACAACATTTGCATAAAAATAGGCACTTATATCAATAGGACAGAATAAAAATCCGAAAATATGTCCACCATTATGTCAAAAATTAATGATCAAGGAAACATTATGGGGAGTATCTGTTTAACAAATGGTGCTGGGAAGATGAGATAGCCATATGTAATAAATTGAAGTTGGATGCCTCTAATTCCATATACCAAAAAAAAAAAAAAAAAATCCAAATAGGTTAAAGACTTAGATACACTAACTACAATAATGTGATATATAGAAGAAAATATTGGCAATTTGCTTCATGATGTCAATGATAAAGGTGTTTTAGAAACAACCCCAAGGCAAGGGTAATAAAGGCAAAAATTAACAGCACTGAGAAGCTAAAGCTAGTTCCACATGAGTTCGATCCCTGCCTGCCCCGGAGGTGACCACATGGCATGGCAGGCCTCTCCTGACCCTCCCGCTGCTCCCCTCAGCAGTGTACTTCGTCAATCTGCCTGTTCTGCTCCCTACTCTGTCTCTGGTGAAGCCTTTCACAGCCCCTGAACCTCTGGCCTGTACCCCAGTTCTGTATGCACAAATAAATAAATCTTAAAAAAAAAAAAAAAGACATCCTATTGAATGGGAGAAAGTATACAGTAGACAGATGACAGGGTTTGGTATCCAAGTCACACAAAGATCTTATTCAACTTAATAATTTTAAAAGAATGGGCTGCCGATTTAAACATCAACGAGGATATTTAGAAGGACAATAGATGTATGGGATGTTATTCATGATTTCTTTTTTTTTTTTTTAAAGATTTATTTATTTATTCATACAGAACTGGGGTACAGGCCAGAGGCTCAGGGGCTGTGAGAGGCTTCACCATAGACAGAGTGGGGAACAGAACAGGCAGATCGACGAAGTACACTGCTGAGGGGAGCAGCGGGCGGGTCAGGAGAGGTCTGGCTAGCCATGTGGTCTCCTCCGGGGCAGGCGGCAGGCGGGAATCGAACTCATGCGGAAGTGGCTTCAGATTCTCAGTGCTGTGCTTTAACCCGCTGCGCCACCAGGGAGGGCCTCATGATTTCTTTTAAAAGGAAAATATAGGTCAAAACCACACATCTTTATCTTATAGCCAGCCATCAATGTCACATATTAAAAAAACTCCCATTAGGAAGTACTAAAAAGTATGTAGAGAAAGAACAACCTTATTACAGTGTTGGTGGGAATGTAAACTGGTGCTGCCATTTTGGAAAGCAGTTTGTATTTACCTTATAAAACTAAAAATGGTAGTACTGTACGATCCAGGGAATAAGATACCATCATCATACTATCAATACAAAATAATATTCTCAACAATGGTTATTGAAACACTATTTCCTATAGTTAGGATACAGAAACAACTTAAGTGCCTGCTGATAAAGCACTGGACTCAGATTTGGTATACCCACATAAGAGAATAATATTCATCCTAAAAAAGACTAAATGTTGCCATCTACAGCAAAATGGAGTCTGAGGAGATTGTGTTTAGCAAAGCAAGTTATAGTGATAGATGTTAGACATTTACATAACAATTTGACAAAGCAAAATACATATGAAAATTAGCAATCTTAATACATGAAGTGAGGCTTCTGAGGTTAATAAGGAGGAGGGGAGGGAAAAGTGATGAAGGACTAAAGGGATGGTGGTAATGAAAAAAGTTTTTAAAAAAGTAACTTGAAATTATCAATTCATTATATGGTTCACATCTTTTGTCTTGTGAATTATTAGGTAAGGTGGAAATGTGTTTAGCCAAATATAACCAAGAAGACTAGAACCACAGAAAGGCCAAAAGTAGCCTGTAAATGAGACATAATAGGTAACAACAATAGAAATATGACAGTTCAAAAAGAGAGACAGATCAGGTGAAATGAGCAAGGCTAGATATAGAAGGATCTTGATTGGAAGGGTGACCAGAGTGATTGACTTAGGGACTCTGTTATAATAATTCCTAAATATAGAGTCTCTTGGGTCTTCCCTGGTGGCCTGGGGGCTGAGTTTCAGTCCTATCACTTCAAGGGCCTGAGTTTGAACCCCAGCCAGGGAGGTGACCCACATGGTACATCAGACCTCTTCTGTTTCCCCCCCTGCACCCCTCAGCAGTATATTTCAGTAGATCTGCCTGTTCTTTTCACCACTCTGTCTCTGGTAAATCCTCTTCCACCATCCTTCCCCGACATTTCTTGCTTCCACCTCAGTTCTGTGCAAAAATTATATATTAATTTTATATTTAAAATTATATAGAAAGGGTTCCAGTGAGTAGCCTAAAGGTACTGTCTTTTAACCCCTACTCAATATTCTCTGCATAAGGTACAATGGATTTTCTTATAAAACAATTTTTTTCTGTAATTCAAGAAAAACAAATGTTTCTATAAGAAAATTATCTGATCAAAAATAAAAAATAAACCTATTAAAATATATGAAAAGTTTACTTTTACCCTAATCTATCAGAGTTTATATAATTTGTAGATATAGATTGTTGTCCTATAAAGTAACATTTCATAGGACAAAGTTAATGCATGGTCTTTAAGTACTTTATTTACAATATTATTTTCAATATTTTCTTCAGGTCACCTGACCCTGTCCAGTGTCAACAGCATTGTGCTGCCTAAAAGAAAACATGCAAAGGAAACCACTCTAAGTGGATTTCATTCCTTCTTCAATGGTCAGTTCAATGTCAAACTCTATAAAGTTTTATTATTATTATTATTATTCTCACCAATAAACCTGTGATTTTTGAAAAATCTTTTGCTTCTAGGAGAAATCATCTATGGTGTCTTGTGCATGGCAGTTACCTGTGGAATCCTTCTTTGGGTTGGGCTCAAACTGAGGTAACTGGATACAACACAGATGGGAAGGGCTGGAGGGTACCAGCATTTTTAAAGCATATTTCACAAAGACAGAGGTTAGAAAACCAACTTCCATGTGAGACAGGTTCATGGAAACATTATTCAGTCTTCATAGGTCAGGGAAATGTGATCATAGATTTACTTTTTATATTGCACTTTGCAATAAAGTGGTTCCTTCCTCCCAGCCTCTTACCCCATAATTAAACTTATCTTTTCCCAGATTTTTCTACAAAATCCAAGTTGAACTTTGCTGTATTCATTATTCCGAACACTTACAGGGTTGATTAGCTTACATAATGGATCTGCTGTGTATTTCAGACAGTTTACAGTTTCCTGAGGATTTACTATTCACTGTAATTCTTTGTATGCTAATAATATGCAATTATTAAAAGGTCTTTAATGAGTTCTCTCAGGATACCTATAGAAGATGACCTGTTATTTCTTCCTGACACTAATTCACTCTTCAAATCTTTTTCTTTCCCTGCCTGAATTTCTGGAGTTTAGTAATCCTCTAGGGTCATAGGATACTTTCCATTACATTAAACAACCCCTAGATTCTGAATGTCTAAAGTTAAAATTTCTCCACTTATTTAATATTTTAAAATAGAGATAAAACGGTGTGATTGGCTTACTTTTAAATAAAAGAAAAATCCCCTATTTAAATATTGATATGCTCATACATATTTGGGTATTTGTTTGTTATTTGAGTGTCACAATGTTAATGAAGAAATATATATGTCCAAATACATGTATATTATTTAGAAATCTATATAAACCTATATAATATATAATGTACATATACATAATGTCTGTCAGTGAGAATTAGTCTAGCAAGGAGCAAAGGCAATGGACTTTTATCTCACCATCTCAGAGAGGAAGACTCATTCAACAATGCATACACACACATACATACATACATACATACATAATATACACACACATACACATATACACACATATCATTCCTCTGGAAATCTCAGATTTAAGGACTTTGACAATCAGTCAAATAAAATGATTTTCCAACTTAAAAAAAATAAATAAGTATCTTAACATATATTAAAAGAATGTTAAACAGATATTAAAAGAAAAATATACTACAAGTGGAGCAGTATTTTGCAATACCAAGTAATATGGCACATTATAAATGTTTCTCTCTGCCTAGGGACATTCAGATTTATTATTTTTAAGTGAAATGGCAGATAACTACAGTTATGTCCTCTTTTGACATTGTCAGTTGACTTTTAGAAACTGAATTTAAGTGAAAGGATGTATAATGAAACTGATTTTAGCACAGGCAAATTGCTAAAGACAAGAGTTAATTTCCTAATGATATATTTCTGGTTACAAATACCACCAAACTTCTAAATATAGAAATCAAAAAGACGTCTAATAATAAACAACAATCACTATTCATTCACTCATTCTCTTAATTTACAATTGCTAATTCCAGTTCAGAGTTCCAGGTGGTCTAAACCTCTGGCAATTCAGGTTGCAAGGTGGGTACCAACTCTGGAGATATCCCAGAAAACTCTGGAAAGTTTTTAAACTCCACACAGACAGTGGCCCCTGACATGAATTGATTTTTTTTTTCTCTTCAAATTTATAATGAAACGACATTGAACAAATTGGCATTATTTGAGTACCTGCTATATATCTATCAGATTCAACCCCTATAAACAGACTATTTGATCTTTACCAATATCAGTATCAATACAAATTGTTCTTCTCCAAGATCTTAAAAGTTGTGTTTGTGTAAGAATTTTCTTGGGTTCAAAGAGAATGATTTAAAATGACTGAAGTAATTAGAGTCAGCTTCTAAACGCAAAGATAGCATTTGGAATTTATTAAATTTCCCTTTATTTGTTTTAAATGTTTTTTAGAGCGCTGTTTAGTTATTAGTTCTGCCTATATGTTCCATCACAGACATTATTTCAGAGAAGCACAAACTGCCTTCTAATCTACAAAATCATATTTTAATGATTCTTAATCTTTGTTTCTTAGCCATATACATAATGTAAATAGTTCACATTTGTTACAAAGGCCCATGGGTTTTTACAGATTACTGTTATGCCATAGATAAATAAGGTGTTGGCTTCTCAAAATTTCCTGTGTATCAATTGTAACTTTATCTCCTTCTTACCTGCAGATAAAAGCACATCCCTTTACTGGATGACAGTTGTGAATGAATATCTTAGGCAAAAATTTTGATTTACTTTCGTATGTCTTTTAAAACAAATCATTAATACTATTAAGCATATCACATTTGGTTACAAATTATTTTCTGTATAATTTAAAATAGGTCATTATCTGTGATCTGAAGAGCAGACCCAAAATTAGTAAAATTTATAATGAAAATGACACAACAAAAGCACCATTAACAACAAAGGTGTGTTATCTCACACCTGAAGAAATAATACTTCCTCTTTAATGAAAGGGGGCTGTTTGCTACTCATTTGGTGGAGTCTAATCTACATGAATGAGTGCCTTGCTGCAGGAAAGACGAAAGGTTTTGCTTTTTTCATATTATGCTAAATTTAGAAATCTCTCAATCTTCAGAGAAATTGGGACAAAACCAAAAATTCAAAACATTAAGTATACTTTTTTTTTTGGGAAAATATATGTAAAACAAACTTAAATACATGGTTTATCAGAAAGACCATCATATATTCTACTACTGGGATTCCACATTCAGGATCTTGATTGTTTTTCCTTCTTGACTTAACAGAATACATCCCAGATATATCAGCACAAATTAGCACATGTAAAGTCTATAAAATCATGTGTTGTTGACTTTTACTTTTACTTTTATATAGAAACTCCAGAATATCAAATCAAACAAGAAATCGCTCACCAATCCATATAACTAGAGGACTTACAGTTCATCAAGAATCACAGATCATTAACAACCGTTTTCTTTTATGCAAGTCTTTGTAGTCAACAGAATATTGTTATCAGTCATCAATAAGGAAAATGTTATTATGGATTTAATGCTATTAGACCATTGTGTATAATCATATAAGATATAGTAATATGGCATGATGTTGGATTTATTTATTCTGAAGAAAAAAGTCAAGCACTAATAAACAGATATCTTTTTACTGTGCTGGTCCACAATTAAATTATCCCTTGAAGGCAAAATGTGTTATTCCAAGTTACAGTCTGTATGATCTATTCTTGGTAACTTTGAACCCATAATAGTAATTAGTTACTTCACAGCATGAGTTAATATTGTTAGCAGGGCTTGTTATAATCAATTTGATAAATTCCCATTATCTTGCCAAAAAGAAAGTGCTAATAGAAATATCTAGTACTTTGCACTTATATATCCATTTTTTCAAATCAATAGCTAAATCATTAGCATTGACTTGAAGTTCTTAAAAGTATTTGATTAGATTATTTTTCTTAAATGTCAAAAGTGATATACTTAGATTTCCATAATTTGATACAGTTGAATTTTTCTTCACAAACATATCTTTATTTTAAATGCATAAATCTGTAAAGTATCTGTATTTAAGCCATTATGTGTTTCAGTGACTTAGTTGATAATTAAATTTTTCTATGCTAACAATTAGGAGTTTTTGTAATCATAGAGATACATCAATTGATACTCTATGTTGTTACCTTTGACCTTATTTGACAGCAGAATATAATTTTTAATAAGAAATTTTGAGGAAATATTTCAGTTAAGTTTTTGATATATGCTTTTAACTGTGATCATATTAGCACTAGTCATTAAGAATAAATATTGTGTTATCTACAGTGGCACAGAGGTGAAAATATTCAATAAGCTGATCATACTAATAATTAACCAATTATTTAAAATTAAAAGTCAAATACTTTGTGCATATTAGATTTCATAACTACTGCTGTTCACTGTACTTTTGGATTCAATTGTCTGTATTAAATAAGTTTGAAGCTAACATTTGACTATGATTACCCTAATTAATTGAAAAAGCCACCCTTTATCTTTCAAAACATTGAAGAACAACTTGGTAACTCACAAATCTCCCATAAGGAGTTCTATGTATTCCAGTGGCTGTTAGTTAACACTGTAAGCTAATGTGAAGAGAGTATAGGCATTTCCATCTCCAAGTCACTGCCATTTAATTAGGCTTGCTAATGTCTAGAAAAACATGAACTGTTCTTTGGAAAACTAAGGTAAGAAGTTTAATTGCTTTTAGAAATATTTTTATGTTGGACAGCAGGTACAGAATGTGAGAACGAGAGCCTCCCTTTTTTTTTTTTGTTTAAGATTTGTTTATTTATGCATACAGAACTGAGATACAGGCCAGAGGTGCAGGGACAGTGAGAGGATTCACCAGAGACAGAGTGGGGAGCAGAAAGGCAGATCTATGAAGTACCTGCTGAGGGGAGCAGTGGGCAAGACAGGAGAGGTCTGCTGCACCATGTGGATCACCTCCAGGGTCTGGGAATTGAACTGGTACTGAGGCCACTGTGGCTAGCTTGCAGTGCTGCCTCTTAACCCATTGCGTCACTAGGGAGGGCCTGAATTCCTCCCTTAAAAACAGCATCATGTCTCCTAAAGCAGCAGTAGTCCATTCTGACTAGAAAAAAGAATCAGCTTGCAACATTTAGGGAAAATTTTATAGTCAGCCATCTTTACAATGTGGAATGCATATTGAGAAGTAATGTGACACATAAAATATGAAACAAACATCAGGACTGAGACACTGAGATCCATAAACATGAGGCTAAGGTGACAAGACACTGTAATGTGAATTCTGAGACTCTTCAGGACATGCTTCATGTGTCTACCCTTATTTTTACTCTTCTGTCTTCTGGGAAGCCTTTTCTCAACAGTCTTTTTGCCTACTCTGGGTTTGCTCAGTGTGCCCTCTCTCTTAGTTTACTGAACCTAACTACCATTTATTTTTCATTCTCAGTATACTAGAAATACTTTCATTGAGTCTGTCAGCTCATTTTTGGTTTTCATTCTTTAACAGAGTGTACATGCAGTAAAAAAAAAATGTTCAATGAATGGAATTACTTTGTTTGAAAGCTTATAAAATATCATTTAATCATTTTAAGTAGGGGAGTGATATCATCAGATTTATGAAAGAGAAAAACCAGGCTGGCAGAAATGTAAACAAAACACTGAAGATGGCTGAGACTACTGTCAAGGAGATTGCTTAAAAATAAACTGCAATGTTTAGCTAACAGACACTAGAGACTGTGCTGTTTCACTTGTTCAACACATATTGACTGCCCAGGTATTGTGTTCCAGTCAGTCACTGTACAAGGCACTGCGGATAACAGTTCTGAACAAAGTCCTTTGGAGACTTGAAAACAAGGAAGGTAAATTCTGATTGTGATAGATAAAGAAATGAATAATTGGGAGAAAACGAATGATGTGAAGCTAAACAGTATTGATGATTCCAGGAAGAATGAATCCCCATCAAAAGTGTCTCAGAAATTGACTGTATGGGGATTTTGAATTAGATACTTTCAGAGAATTGATGTAAAGAAAATGGCAAGAGCAGATATTAAGAAAGTATGCATCTGATGATCATCTTTTATGTGTCTGTTGACTATAGGTCTTTTGTATAATGTCTACTTAAATTTATAGTTTAATTTTGGAAAAATGAAAAATGGGTCTAATTTTTTTTAATCACAGTGTTTTGTTGAGTTGTAAGACATGTTTATATTTTTTTGATATCATCAGTCCCTTTATATATGATTTGTCAATATCTTCTCCCATTTAATAGTGCTGCAAAAGCTTTTTAGTTTCACCTAGTCTCATTTTTTTACTTATTGTCTAGGTTGTTGGAGACACATGCACAAATTTAGTTCTCAGAATCATGTTGAAAAAATAAATATCTATTTCTTCTAAATATTTCATGGTTTTAGATCCTATACTCAAGTTTTTAACTCATTTTTAATTAATTTTGTGTATGATATTTGATTATGGTTCAAGTATTGTTCTTTTGCATGTAATTACAATTTTCCCAGCACCATATTGAAGGAACTTTCTTTTCTCCATACATATATTTTAGACACGGTCACAAATTAGTTGTTCATCTATGTATGGGTTTATTTCTGGACTCTTAATTCCATCAATCTCCCTGTCTTCATTAATCTATATGTCTGCTCTTATTCCAATACTATATTGTTTTTGATTACCATAGCTTTGTGGGATCATTTGAAATCAGGAAATATGATAATTCATACACATGAAAAGATGTTCATCATCAATTATTATTTTGGGAAATGCTAAGCAATGTCACAATATCACCTCATACCAGATAGAATGGCTATTATCAAAAAGACCACAAGTAAATATCAAGGATATGTAAAAAAGGAAAAATTATGGAATTTTTCAAAAACTTAAGAATAGAATTATCTATTCCATTTTTGACATTTAAAGAATATGAAAACACTAATTAGAAAAAATATGTGCATCCTTATGTTCCCTGAAACCCTACTTACAATAGCTAAGATAGGGAAACAACTTAAGTGCCCATCTATGTATGAGTAGATAAATAAGATATGGGAGGTATATGTCTATATCAAGATAGATAAAGATATACCCACACATGTATGTATACACACAATAGAATATTACTTGACTATACAACAGAATAAATTTTGCCATTGCAACAACATGAATGGACCTTCAGGAAAATATGCTAATAAGCCAGTCAAAGAATGAATACCATATTATTTCATTCATTAGTGTAAGGTAAAGAAGTAAAGCAAATGAACAAACAAAAAACCCTTTGAGTTTAGCAGAATGGTTACTAGATGGGATGAGGTTGGAGTTTATAAAGTGGGTGTAAGGGATCAACTGTGTGGTGATGGATGGAAAAAATTAGATTTTCAGTGGTAATCATAACACAGAATATACAGATGTCAAAATAGAAGCCATATACCAGAACTTGTTTAAAAAATGAACAAACAAAATAACAGCAAACTCTTTGATTATGAAACCAAAATCATGATCACCACAGGGAAAAGTAGATGGGGGTGGGTGAACTAAGTAAAGGGTGCCAATTGTAGAAGTGGCTGAAAATTAGGTTTTTATTAGGTATTGTGGTATGTATAGGTGTTGAATTATTATGCTATACACCTGAAACCAGTGTTACTGCAATGATTAAAAAAATAGATTTATGCTGTTAAAGAATAAAGTTAAAGTTAAAGAATAGAATTATGCTATTAGGTAAATCACAATGCTTTTTAGAAATTTGCCTCATTCAAGAAAAGATGAGCTTGGAATGGGAAAGAACCAAATGAAATATCTTCCATCCTGTTAACACTTTCTTTACTTCTCACATACCCCAGGAATCTAACCTGAAGTACATATAGACTCCCTTCTTTGCTGGCCTCCCATTGAGTGCATGCAATAGGGAGTAGTGACACAAGATGGTGAGAAATACTCTGGATCCTCTTTGAGGAATTATGTTGGAATGGCTATTTACCTTATGAGAACATCACTATTTCTTCCATTGTGACCTTTTCTGCGTAAATCTCTTTTGAATTTCACCAAGCATCTCTTCACCTTTCCCCTTCAGGAGTAGAAAAAATGTTACTGTGAAAAATCTAAAGGTTTTTTTTTTTTTTTTATGATGTTTACTTTTTCATTTTCTTTCTTTGTTACCCTCCAAACATTAAAACCAGTGACTCAGATGTTACTAGTTGTGAGTTTCAGCGTCCTTTGTGGCTTTCCTACAACTTCCCACACCTGTATAAAAACTCCCTAAAGTAAACATCTTCCTTAATCTCTCTCACGCGCCCTAAAATTAAAAAAAAAGTTTGCCTCAGGAGGATTGCCTTTGAATTAAGGAGGAAGTTGTGTGGGGAAGAGCCATCATGTCACAGACCTCTCCCCACAAGACTTTGACAGTTGATGAAATTCCTCCAGAATAGTCTGGCTGTTGCAGTAATAAGCTTCTGCGCCTCTAGTGGCTGCTCCCCCT